TCAGTTCTGGGATAGGAGGGATCTATATCGTTGGGATGGACTCCACCCAAACAGGGCCGGGTCCAGTGTTCTGGCAAAAAGGGTAAATAGGGTGGTCAATAGTACTTTAGACTAGTAAGTAAGAGGGGAGGGAGGAATGAGCGTACAGGGAGTATAACAGTTAATGTAAGGCAAAGCAGCAGGTTAGCAGGTGACAAGGAAGATTCAACTCCATTGAAAATTAGGAAGAAAGCTAAAGGGAAGGAGAACTCAAGACCTGTTAGTAATGGAGGTGATAGAACCCAAAAAGAAGGTGCAAAAACTGGCATAAGGGCACTTTATCTGAATGCTCGGAGCATTCGAAACAAGGTGGATGAGTTGACGGTGCAAATCATGGCAAATGGGTATGATTTAGTGGCCATTACAGAGACATGGTTGCAGGATGGTCATGACTGGGAGTTAAATATCCAGGGGTATCAAACTGTTTGGAAGGACAGACAGGAAGGTAAGGGAGGTGGTGTCACTCTGATTTTTAAGGATGGTATCGGGGCGGTAGTGAGAGATGATATAGGTTCTACTGAACAAAAGGTTGAATCCATTTGGGTGGAAATTAGGAATAGCAGGGAAAAGAAGTCACTGATAGGTGTGGTCTAAAGGCCACCAAATAATGACATCGTGGTGGGGCGGGCAATAAACACAGAAATAGCTAATGCATGTGAAAATGGTACAGCAATTATCATGGGGGCTTTTAATCTACATATCGATTGGTCAAACCAGGTCGGTCATGGCAGCCTTGAGGAGGGGTTCATAGAATGCATCCACGATAATTTCCTTGAAAATATGTAATGGAACCTACGAGGGAGCAAGCTAACCTAGATCTAGTCCTGTGTAATGAGACAGGAATAATTAATGATCTCACAGTTAGGGATCCTCTCGGAAGGAGCGATCACAGGATGGTCGAATTTAAAATAGAGATGGAGCGTGAGAAGGTTAAATCCAGTACCTATGTCCTGTGCTTAAACAAAGGAGACTATGATGGGATGAGGAAGGAGTTGGCTAAGGTAGAATGGGAGCAAAAACTTTATGGTGGGTCAATTGAGGAACAGTGGAGGACTTTCAAAACAATTTTTCACAGTGCTCAGCAGAAGTATATTCCAGTGATAAGGAAGAACTGTAGGGAAAAAAGAAATAGTCAGCCATGGATGTCTAAGGAAATAAAGAAAAGTATCAGATTAAAAAAAAACACATACAAAAAAGCAAAGATTAGTGGGAAACTAGTAGACTGGGAAATCTTTAAAGGCCAACAGAAAGCCACAAAAAAAGTTATAAAGAAAAGTAAGATAGATTATGAGAGCAAACTAGCTCAGAATATTAAAAAAGGCAACAAAAGTTTCTATAAATATGTAAATCGCAAAAGAGTGACAAAGGTAAACATTGGTCCTTTAAAAGATGAGAAGGCCAATTTAATAACTGGGAATGAGGAAATAGCTGAGGCATTAAACAGTTATTTTGGGTCGGTCTTCACAGTGGAAGACACAAATAACATGCCGAAAACTGATGGCAAGAAGGTTATAGCAGGTGAGGACCTAGAAACTATCATTATCACTAAGGAGGCAGTACTGGGCAAGCTAATGGGGCTAAAGGTAGACAAGTCTCCTGGCCCTGATGAAATACATCCCAGGGTACTAAAAGAGGTGGTGGGGGAAATAGCAAATGCACTAGTAATTATTTACCAAAATTCACTGGACTCTGGGGTGGTTCCCGCAGATTTGGAAACAGCCAATGTGACACCGCTGTTTAAAAAAGGAAGTAGACAAAAAGCAGGTAACTATAGGCCAGTTAACTTAACTTTGGTAGTGGGGAAAATGCTTGAATCTATCATTAAGGAAGAAATGACAAGACAACTGGATATAAATTCTCCCATTGGGAACACCCAGCATGGGTTCATGAAGGATAGGTCATGTTTAACTAATTTGGTGGAATTCTTTGAGGACATTACTTGCATGGTGGACAATGGGGAACCTGTGGATGTAGTGTATCTGGATTTCCAGAAGGCATTTGACAAGGTGCCACACCAAAGGCTGCTACATAAGATAAAGTTGCACGGGATTACAGGTAATGTATTGGCATGGGATAGAGGATTGGTTGACTAGTAGAAAACAAAGAGTAGGGGTAAATGGGTGTTTTTCTGGTTGGCGGTCAGTGGCTAGTGGTGTGCCTCAGGGATCAGTGTTGGGACCGCAATTGTTTACAATTTATATAGATGATTTGGAGCTGGGGACTAAGTGTGGTGTGTCAAAATTTGCAGATGACACTAGGATGAGTGGTAGAGCAAAGTGTGCAGAAGACACTGAAAGTCTGCAGAGGGATATAGATAGTCTAAGTGAGTGGGCAAAGGTCTGGCAGATGGAGTACAATGTTGATAAGTGTGAGGTCATCCATTTTGGTAGGAATAACAGCAAAATGGACTATGTTTTAAATGGTAAAAAATTGCAGCACGTTGCTGTGCAGAGGGACTTGGGTGTCCTCGTGCATGAATCGCTAAAAGTAGGATTGCAGGTGCAGCAGGTAATTAAAAAGGCAAATGGAATTTTGTCTGCCATTGCCAAAGGGATAGAGTTTAAAAACAGGGAGGCTATGCTGCAGCTGTATAGGGTCCTGGTGAGGCCACACCTGGAGTACTGTGTGGAGGTTTGGTCTCCTTACTTGAGAAAGAATATACTAGCACTGGACGGGGTACAGAGGAGATACACTTGGTTGATTCCAGAGTTGAGAGGGTTGGATTATGAGGAGAGACTGAGTAGGCTGGGATTATACTCATTGGAATTCAGAAGAATGAGGGGAGATCTTATAGAAACATATAAGATTATGAAGGGAATAGATAAGGTGGAGGCAGGGAGGTTGTTTCCACTCGCAGGTGAAACTAGGACTAGAGGGCATCGCCTCACAATAAAGGGAAGCAGATGTCGGACTGAGGTCAGGAGGAACTTCTTCACCCAAAGGGTTGTGAATCTGTGGAATTCCCTGCCCAATGAAGCGGTTGAAGCTACCTCGCTACCTGTTTTTAAAGCAAGGCTAGATAAATTTTTGAACAGTAAAGGAATTAAAGGTTATGATGTGCGAGCGGGTAAGTGGAGCTGAGTCTCAAAAAGATCAGCCGTGATCTTATTAAATGGCGGGGCAGGCTTGAGGGGCCGGATGGCCTACTCCTGCTCCTAGTTCTTATGTTCTTATGTTCTTGAAAGATGACCATCAATGCATCCACTATTTCTCGGACCACTCGCTTAATTACTCTGGGATGTAGATTATCGGGCTCTGGAGATTTATCAACCGTTGATCTTTCAATTTCCCCGACACTATTTCCCCACAAACACTGATTTCTTTCAGTTCATCCCTCTCACTAACCCTTATGTTCTGCAACATTTTTGGGATGTTAGCTCTGATGAAGAGTTATCTAGACTTGAAACGTTAGCTTGCTGAATCTCCACAGATGCTGCCTGATCCGCTGTGATTTCTAGCATTATTTTCTTTCAGTATCAATTTAATTGGTCAACCATTTCTTTGATTCCCATTATGATTTCCATTGTTTCTGATTGTAAGGGACTTACATTTGCATTCACCAACCTTTTTCGATTCACATACCTATAGAAACTTTTACAGTCAGTTTTTATGTTCTCTGCAAGCCTTCTCTCATACTCGCATTTTCTTTTTCCGAATCAATCCCTTTGAGAAAACTCAACAAGGAAACAAGACAATTCAGCTTCTTCTTGCTCCAAAAGGTCTCCATGTTGGAAGCCAGGCAGCAACATCTCAAGGTACATTCCAAAGGCACCAGCTATATCCACCACACATCCATGATATTGGCATTTGGCATGTGTCAGGCTCTAAGAACCCTCAGAGCACATCTCAGATCCACTTACAGGACACTTCTGTCGTTCAAAACTGTACCTCAGGCTGCACTAGCAACGCTCATTGTAAAGCTGCAGCAAGGATACTGTGATAACAAGGTGTAGAGCTGGATGAACACAGCAGGCCAAGCTGCATCATAGGAGCAGGAAGGCTGATGTTTCGGGCCTAGACACACAGCCAGCTCGGAAACTGAACCAGGCTGCATTTCTGGGTTCTTTGCTCACTGTTATAGCTGTCACTCACTGTAACCCTACCTGAATGCTCACTGCATTTCTGTCCTTCATTACCTTGCCCTTGTTTAAGCTGAGGACACTGGTTTGAGATCCAAGTTGCCCTTCCTTAAGCTGAATTTGAAATTCTAACCATGTTGTGATTGCTAACCCTTAGACGATTCTAAACTGTGAGATCTCTTATTAATCCCTCCTCATTAGACATTTAATATAACCTTTTCCTTGGTGCTGCTCTAAAAAAATCCTCTGATACACTGAACATATTTGCCTTCCATGTTACTTTCGTCCATCTGATAGGTGCAGTCAAGATGCAGATTAAAATCGCCTTTGACAATTGTTGTGCCCTTCTTACATACTTCCAATATTTCCGAATTCATATATATCAGTGATGTGAGTGCAAAAGATGATGATATGGAATCTGGATGGAAATAGCAAGGGTAAGAAGACATGGGTGGGAGTTGTCTATAGCTCTCTGAAGAGTTGCCACACTCTATGAGAAACTATAACTAAGTAATCAAAACAGTTTCCCTTGAGACAATAATATTACAAAAGCAAAATACGTGGATGCTGGAAATCTGAAACAAACACAGAACGTTGTAAAGATTTAGACAGTCTGGCAGGATCTGTGGAAAGAATTAGAGTTAATGTTTTGAGTCTGTTTTGACTGTTCTTCACAATTGAGTTTCTCCAGTATTCTCTGTCTTTTTTCTCTTGAGGCAATCTAGTCAACTGATCTGATTGGTATGTTAGGTTAGACATGTTTACTGATAATGGGCAAGATATTAATCTCATGGCTAAAAACAGAAAATATAGATCCTGACAAATGACCTGGTCAGTGTCTACACTGTAGGAATCCAAGAAAGCTATTGACAGCACAATCAGTTTATGACCAGCATATATATTTTATTAGAATTATATACAGAAAGGTCAATCAAGGAATTGATACATTTATCAACAACAAATATACAAATAAATTATATAATCTACATGTACAATATGTTAATTTATTTATGTAGACATCTTAAAAATATTTCAGAAATATCTTAAAACACTTTCCTCTTTCATACTTTCTGGTGAGTGCTATGTAAAATGATACAATAAAGTTGCGCAATCTATGTTTTTTTTACTTGTGTCTGTTTATTTTGTTTATTTTATGAGGGATAGCACTGCTGCAGAATGGAACATTTTAAAATTTCCATGTGGAGATAGTCATGCATTATTTTACGAACATTATTGATACTGCAACGTATTCCCTAACTGGCTTCTTTCTTTCACATAGATTTCTTTTATCAGCTTGTCTACAATCCTGTTGAATTACTATTTTGAAAATGTATTGGGGGAAAATGATTGCGTGCAGTGTTTTGTGGTCAAATTATTTGTTCCCTAATTTTTACACAAGGTTACTTCATAATTAGTTTTCAGATTGAGAGGGACGAACTTGGTACATTAATGGATTATCCAATTCCTATCAGATCACTGAAACAAAAACACATTTGAACAACTCATGAACTGCAAGTGAGATATAACTCTATATGTTAACAGATCATAAGAACATTATGTCATACACAGGTATAGAACCATGTAGGTAACGGAAAGTCACAATGGAAATCACACCATAAACTGCAGTTTGCCTGATGAGATGATGGTACAAATCTAACATTCACCTTTCACGCACTATCTCAGCCATAGGGATTTAATTAAATAAACCACAATAAATAAAAATGTGAATACACATGTGTAACCAACATATACAGATATGGGAAGTGAATAAAAAGTACAGAATAATACAATACATTCAGTGTTCATTGTGTATTTTCACTTTAATTCCTAAAATAATCATTTAGGTTGTTTAGATTATCATATCTGATTAATGTTGTTTTTCAATTTATTGGGAAGAAGGGGTTTGACTATCTCATTATCCAGTTTGTTGTTCTCGATATTACCTTCTTTATTACTAGGAAATTAAATCTTTCTTTTCACTAGTGTTGTAATCAATTAAGTTTGAAACAGAATTTTAGATCTGTTGAAGGTAGATTTTATAAAGCTTAAAATATGATGTAATGGATTCAAGGCATCAATGAGTTCTGGCATTAGAAAGCAATGTGCTCACAACATTCTGACTTTGGGAGTTCTATCAGAGCAAACCACTGGGCAGAGGTTTGTAAAGAGGGAAATGAAATGGGGAAATAATCTTGGACCTGAAACAGAGGTATAATTGCAGGCTTGGATATAAGTTGTTTTAGTGCCTTCATTGAAAGCATTGTGATATATAGGCAGCAATCTAAAGTAGTGGGCAAAGATTTTTTTTTAAATTTTAGTTTGGTTTTATTACTAGTGCTAAAAATTATGTTAAACAAATTTGGCCATTTCTGCTCATGACAAATTACCATATCCTTTAGTGCATTTGTATTTTCTATACCAGTTACCGAAGCCTTCAGTAATGCACATATTTTCTGCAGTAAACAAATTGTGCAAAACTGTGGCAGTATATAATCTATTCTGACAACATATCACCGATCTAAGAATTAGATACCAATCATTGAACTACTCTGTCTCTTTTAAGTTGAGGTGCTTCATTTTTAAATTGTCCATTGTCATCACATCTGTAGTTACCTTTATCATTAATGTAAAGGTAGAGGCTTTCACTTAATCCTATGATGGTAAACACACAGCAAAAATATGAGTATCACCACATGATGAATTGGACAGAAAGTTTTAGTGCCTCGTCACTAGCATTTGTAATTCAGACAGATGGAAAATTTCTGTCAATGGAATGAACTGAATTCTGTTGGGAGAGGAGATCCACCCGTTCATAAATGGTACCATGATCTTGCAATATTGAAGCTGCAAAACCAACGATCTTGAAAATTCTTGTTTACCTCTTGTTTACGAAAAACTGTCAAAGACCTATATTTAGAAATGAGCACGTAATTAGATATCTTTAGCATTCTGCCCAAATAGCTGCACTCTTACAATTTAAAGAAGAAATTAGCTTTAAGTTCATCACTAAATTACTAAGGATTGCAATGTAGCTAACTCACTGTTCGCTGCAGAGAATTCTAATGTTTGTTCTTGTTGGTCTCTTACCTCAATATATGCGGCTCTACACCTCCTCATGCGCTGTGTAAGTGTCTTTTGGTAAATTCTGTTTTTCATTGCTGTGAAAATAAAACAATGTCTTAATTAGCATTAACATTAAAATTAGTTATTCATTAATAAATTTCAAAATTAAGTTTCCCTCCCCCTTGCCCAAACTGTCAACTTTAACCTATGAGCCTAGATGCCACATTTCAGTGAGATATATCATGCAGACAATATCAGTCATGTCCAATCCTGTGTGGGACATATCCACTTGTGATAAACGACAGTGATTTTAAGCAATTTGGATTCTTTGGCTATGTTTCATCTATCTCTGCATTTTTCCAGCTAAGACTGGTGACAGCAGTACCTTCCTAGTTTATGAGGCTCAATTTATATTGAATGTTGTGATTTGTGACTGAGATGTCAGAGCATGTATTCACTTTAATGTATAAAGTCAGTTCATATTGTTTCAGTAACAATAATCCTAGCATCACTCGCACTGAGTTTACATAAAACCACAAGCCATGCAGAAGAGAATAACGAATAAAAGTATTCCTGTGCCATCTGACTTCTAAAAAACATGATAAAAAATGCAAATTTTACCTTAAAAGTGAAAACTTTTCTGCTTGTGCTAAAAGGAAGATAGAGAAAAAAAATCAATTGTTTGTTTTTCCTCAGAAGGGAACATTCAAGCTGAGACATTAGGTTTAGCTGACAACATTGTGCGACTAAGCATTGACTATTTAAACAAACTGTCTTCAAAACAAAGTACAAGCACCTCCTAATCAACCACAATTAAAATTTTTATAGTAGGGGCAAACAGCTAATTGCAGCACAGGATTTGTTACTGGAAGGAGATTTCTGAAAATTGGTATTTTCACAGAGTCTGGGATTTCTTATACGATATGGTACTTGACACCAACTGCACCACAAACAGTATGGGTATAAATTTGCTGAGATGTCACGGGGTGTTAACACAGTGCTAGATCACTTTCAAAATGAAGAAGTCCTGAGTAGAAAGAGGCAAATTCTCATTCACATTTAAATGTATGTCAAACAAAAATAGTTAATGTAGGTATCACATCATCATCATTCTAGGCAGGCGCTGATTCCCTGAAGCAACCTTCTCAAGAGTAGCTGTAGGAGAATTCACAATTCTGCAGGCCCACAGTTTTCTGTCTGACACGGACAGGAAAATCTGTGCATTAGGGTGAACTATGAACATTACCAGCATAATAGTTAAGCACTTCCAAAATCTGTCTAAGGCAACAAAAAAAAGGGAAGCTTCCTCCACTACATCTGTATGTGCTATCTTGTCTTTATTTTGCCAACTATCCAAAAGGCCTTGCTCATTGAGATGGCTAATTTATGCCACACTATGGACAATTTTGAATTGTGGACCATTCTCAATAGTTGAATTCTACAGAAAATGACTTCCAGATTATGTAGTTTGGCTGCATTCAGACCCAAGACCCAGAAAAATATGTTGTCCACACCTCCCTTCTTTATTATTTTGTTCATTTCTGACTTTGCTGTCGGCCATGGTGACCTTTACTCTTCATAGGTTATTTTAATCTGAGGAAAGACTCCACCCTTAAAGCAGGAAACCCTTCATGTTTATTAACACAACACGAAGCAAGAGGTTTTTGTAAGCATTTAGTATCTTTTTCTAATAGCCTTCTTATTTCCAGATTGTTTGTAATAAGCTAGATAAATGTCCGAATCACACTTCATGGTATTATTTATAAATATTAATTACACCCACATAATTGTGGAAAATTTCTGTCAGCTGCAATTAATAAAGGTGTAAATGTAATGCGTTATATGGCAAAGTCATTTTTCAGGAACATGTTGGCATGTTCATTATTAGAATTGCAAAATGATTTCAATCTCTATACTTATATATTAGGTATTCTTATACGTTAGGATTTATTTAATTTGTTGCATTTTTTGTCCGTGTTTCACCATTGGGTTCCAATCTGTGTCACCCATGATGGACATAATACATAACATCAAACAATTATATCTAACAATCTAGTTGAGGGCAACAGTAGACAGACTCGTGTTTGAGGAGAACAAAGTTAATTTGTTAAGAAATCCAACAGAAAGCTAATTCTTTCAAATAGATGTCAAGGCAATAGGAATTATGCATAAGAGAGAAAGAAAAGGAGTGTGTATGTGCGTGTATCTGTGTGTACGCGTGTTGTTCAGCCACTCAATACATCATGAAGGGGGCATGCTTTGAAGCTCAGTTCAAACATGAACACATCATACAAAAAATATCACAAATACTTCTAGTAAAAGTCGAAGAGTTGAAGTCTGATGAAAAGAGAATACAGGAAACTGTAGCGATAGAAGATTAGCTGAACATTTACCTTTCTGTTTGAGCTTTCTTGCTAACCAGGCGATCAGTGTCAAAGCAGAGACTCCAGTAACAGATGCCGTTAGTACAGGTATGTATGGAGGAATACCTAAGGACAAATGGAAAACTAACATTTCACAACAATTCATGTAGGAGATAACTTGATATGAAATCTATGTACTGAATGAATATTACGATCCAAGCAAACTTCTAATGATTTTACTTTGAATACGCAGATAACATGAATACAACTTGACACTGCACTTTCAAGGTTGCATTTTGTGTTTAGATCCATTTTACGCTAAAAAAAATTAGATCCTATTTAATAATAACTCAACAATCACTCTGTAGTTGTTCTGTACTTCAGTCCATCGAACCCTCGGAATTAAAACCTTCAGCACAGATAAAGTAGCATCTTGAGCTGTAAACAAAATCCCCAATGGACTGCGAATAATTAATGAATCCTGTTCTGAGGAAGGGTCACCGGACCCGAAACATTAACTCTGTTTTTCCCTTCACAGATACTGCCAGACCTGCTGAGCTTTTCCAGCAACTTTGTTTTTGTTTCTGATTTACAGCATCCGCAGTTCTTTCGGGTTTTAATGAATCCTTGTTTGGCACTCAAGCAAAGTGCTCCTTCCGCTATCAGTTCTGCTGCTGTTCATGGAAATTCCTATCTCTTTCATGCACCATTTTCTTATTAATGTGAACTAATGATCCAATCATTCTTTCACAATATTTCACCCTGCTAAGCACCTCTGTGTCTATGATTTTCCCATTTAGCATCTTGGCAGTTTGCTTTTTCTCCCTTTCTCTGCAATTTGTCACCGGGACTGTCCATTCCAATGTTCATTATTTATTGTTTGACTGGCCAATTTAGTTTAATTTAGTTCTGGTACAGAAAAGGAAGGTTTATTTTTATAACTTTATAGCTTTGATTAGTCATTCATTAGTCATTCAATATGAATGGTGCTGAACATTGGTTCTGAACAATCCACCACATCCCCAATGGCCCACATACACTCATAAATTTGTACCTTTCCAGCACACAGCTTTCAGTTTAAAATTATTCAGTTTAGCATATTCTCTAATAGGAAAGTGTACAGAATGAAAGTAAGTGAACAAGTTAATTCATGATGGTCTTACAGTGTTAATTTTAGCTTCTCTTGTCTTTTTCTACAAAATATATGTTGAAAATTCTCATGCTCCATTCAACACTTTTCCCTATGGAACATTCAATGCCATATCCTCTCACCTTCACAGCTGGGAGTCGGTGCTGACCATTCTCCTGACACTCCACACTCCAGGCTGTCTGATCCTTGGAGCTTGAATCCTTTGACACAGCTGAAGTCACAAGTTGAGTTGTAACTGAATGCTCCAACAGGATGAGAACAGTTCATTTCTGCTTGCCTGGGAGTCACCAGAGTTCTACATTTCACAACTAAAACAAAATTAAAACAAAATAAGTTGACACGCACAAATACAATGAATATATTTCATATATTTCATATTTAGCATATTTAGTCTATTAAACAATTCACAAGCTTCTACTAACATTCCTTGGAAAATTAGGAGTTGCAACATTCCATGTGCTTTCATGGAGTGAAGATATTAAGGTTGAGAATGCATAGTCACTGGGAAAGATATGGAAAGTAGGCAACAACAGCAGGTGAAACATCAGGAAAAGACAGACCAGGGCAGAGAGGTAGTGGATGGGGGTGGGGGAGGAAGGACAGTGACATGCAGAACTGCAGTGAATGGAGACAGTTTTCTATGGCCCCTTGTAGACGATGGCTAAACATGGATGGATGGATTTCGTGGTGTAGATTCACACGTTACCTTCACAACTGGGGAGTGGTGCTGACCATTCTCCTGATGCTCCACACTCCAGTCTGTCTCTCCCTTGGAGCTCGAAGCCTTTGGAACAGCTGAATTCACATGTTGAATTGTAACTGAAATCTCCAATGGGATGAGAACACTTCTTGAATCCATATGTGGGAACTTCTAGAGCTGTACATTTTTTAGCTGTAATAAAAAAAAGTGAGGT